CCTTACTTAAACTTAAACCAAACCTTATTTCACTACGGTGACTCCGGGGTTCACATCCTAAAACCTAGTATTTATGCAGACCCCAGAGTCCACCTATCCTTTACAGGATTATACTATTATCAATTTGCAATTTTCATTGATTAGCATTTAAAAAAAAAAAATATTGAATCAGAGACTCGCTGTCTAAAAAGTCCACTGCTAATGCTATTCTTATCAAAGAAAATGGCACAATTTGATTTTATGACATGTTTTTAAAAAAAGAGTTTTAAAAATATCAAGAAAATAACATAAAATGATTATATAGATCTATAGATACATGTATTTTATTATGTATACTAAAAGACTGAGCAGAGGCTTACAATATTCTGTGCTCTACAAGTAGAGAAAATCTTAAGTTTGCGCAAAACAGATTTATTTTTTTTAAAGTTGAATCTTATTATTCTAATAAAAGTAAAAGTGATTGTTATGGTGAGATTTGTTATTATTATCTCTGGAAATACAGTTAGTTGCTGAATCTAAAATTAACTAGAACTGTGCAATTCGTTTTATTTCAATTCCAAAGCCCAAAGGCATAGCAGTAAGTTATATATGGATCTAGTAGTTGTAGGCTCTCTGGCTGCTTCTAGCCTTGGCCTGCTACTACTGATTCTAGACAGGGAATCTAGATCTAGCTATCACCAGCACTATTTAAGTCAAATATATGGTTTAAAAAACAACAACTGTGAATTGTTTTGTCAGTCAGTTCATCCCAATTGCCATAGCCGCACGTATTAATACATGTAGTTGAATAATGGGATACCGAAGCAACACGTTATCACAGTGTGCAGGGGAGAGCGGGGTGCCCGGGTCGCTGACCGGTCGATTCGGTGGTTCGGCTTTTGTAGATCTATGCATTTTTTACGGAAAGCCCTATTACTAGATCTATTAGTGTTGTGAAAACTTCAACCTCTACAGCTCAGGCGTCAAAAGATGTTGGATTAAATAATAATGCGTCCTGGGGTTTCATAATTTATACAGAATAATACAGCCAGTAGTTTTTATTTCATTGAGTAGAAATAGCATTGTTTTCAGAAGCAAATTTTAATAGTTCCAGTTCTACCGAATCGATTTTCACGCGAATTCAACCATTTTGATGATCTTTCTTTACCTTTTATAAAGATGTAGGCTTGTCGGATGTGGCAGTGAGATTAACGAGTTGTTTAGACAGACCCATCAAAACACAAGGCTTCATGGCCGATCACAAAAGTCTATGGGGCTTATCAAGGCCGATTCGCCCTGCCGCGTGCACGTTCACTAAACTGCCTACTACTAGATAGAATCTACTACCAAAGATTCTCTACGCGATCTTTGCTGCTACTACTACTACATGTACTACTACGAGACAGTACGAGAGAGTGCCACTCTGGCAAAGATAGTGTAACTTTGACTCAGCCACGTTGTTTTTTTTTTTTGTTTTTTTTTTTTTTTAGATGTGCTCTCCCTGGTGGAAAAGGGCTGGGTTTTTTGGGGGTTTTTTTGTTGTTTTTTTGGCCTGTTTAATTTTATTTCCCAAGGGCCTTTTAACAAATTAAGAACATCACAGGTTTCATTCTGTCTAGGGCTCATTTACGTCCCTTTCTTATGCTCACTGCTTCATTCCACTATTACATTTGCGGCTCATCCCCGTCCGCCTTTTCATTTATACCCCTTTCCCCCTCTTCCCTCCCCCACTCTCATACACAGGAAATTTTTTTCACTCGTTCTCATTTGTGCCATGTACATATTTTATTTGGTGGTTTTTTTCCATTCGCTTTAGAGCTGTGTTCTCTTGTGTTCGTCATCTTTCATCCGTTGGGGTGTCAAGTCGTTGTTACTCTGTGTTTACAGAGTAGCCTTGTCTTGTCTTACATGTTTCGTCTATTGGTCTTGTCCTCGTCATTCTGCTTGTATTCGAGGTCATTTACTCACTCTTCCTCTCCACAGCTCAAGTATTTCTCAAAGACTGCCCATTTTGTTTCTGTGTTGAAATTGTAGATGATTTTCCTATGAAATAAATCCGAGATCTTGTTTGGTGTATAATGTTTT